TAGCTATCGGTTAGCTGAAACCACATATCTACCCTTTATAACGTAGTCAGATGCTAGCCATAATGACTTCTCTCAGTCTCATGGCCTTCCCGGCTCCCTAATAACTACGGTATAGTGGGCAGAAGAGCCGCTAGAGCTAACAAAATGATCAGAGTGTAGAAGTACGAGGGATGCTACAGTTAATGCGTCCAAAGCTGTAATACATCGCTACATCGCTACATAATTGCACGCTAAATCAAAGACTGGCGGCACGGATGTTTGGCAACTGTTCAACTACGTCGCCAGAATTTCTGATTAGAACTTCATTTAGACTTCCTGTCTCAGCTACGCTCCCTTTGAGCTGAGTCGCAGACGCGTACAGCAGCCGCAGCGTGCATTCCTCAGCAACCACTAGTGAAGCTGTTATTAAGAGAAGGTCAGCCGTCTGACTGCACCAAGCATAGTCGCAATGATGTCGAAGTGACAGAAGCCAAGGCGGGAAGCTAATAGTAGAGTTATATCAGGAATGATGTCATGAGAGTGCGAGGCGGGCTCGACGGAAAAGACGTTATCTGTGATAAACAGCCGCTTTCGACCGTTTGCGTCGGTTGCGAATGCCTCGGCCGCTGTCTGAACGTCGTTACCTTGCGACGACATGCGCATTCTAAATAGCCATTGGGGCGTAAACTGATTAAACGCGATATTGACGCCGCGCTGCCTGTAGTGACGTGTTATACGCGTCCACGTAATGACGCCGAGGATAAGAGTAACGCTAGCCGTATTCGAATTCATTAATAACATAGTTGTTATAATAGAGCGGAAATTGCGTTCAAAATTCTACAATCAATCGTCTGTGCACTGCACATGTAAAATAAGTCGGCAAGCGTCATGCATGACTTCCTTCTAATTTACTGCTAATAATCTTTTCATTATTTCGGGCATGTGAAAATGCAGCCACTGCAATCACTGGTCTACATCTGAGCACATAAATCAAGATGCGATTTTTCCATTCGCTGCCGAAACTACGGATTACCGTAATGCTGCGTTGCCTTTACATCTACGCAGACTCGCGACAGCCTCACGGCAACCGCGGTATTGCAGCAAAGTCGCGATGCCCACGCAATATCACATGCGTGCGCTCTGTGTTATAATGTTTTCTTTATCGTTCACTCGTTGCTGTATATCCTCAAGCCGTCGCGGCCGGGCAGTCTATTGGCAAACCCTCCCGAGCGATCATCGCTGCGTGCCATGCTATACTTTAATGAAAGAATAATTTAACGAGGCAATCGAACCGAAGCTAGCAGAGCCAACTAGTGCAAACCGCGCGCGTACAAACTCAACTCCCTCCCAGCGGCAGCCAGCCAGCGGAAATTGGTGTTCAGATGTGAAATATTATATCTGGACGAGAGATCAATGACTGATCAATACCGACAATATTCCGGAAAGCTGTTGATTAGCGAAATAATAATTTTTAACGGCAAGCGTGAAGATTGATTCCGTTTTATTTTCAAATAGCCATATTGTAATTAGCTGTTTTTTTCTGTGAAAACGACCCGTCGCTGCGTATTAACCTTGCATTCTCTACGGCGTAACCTTCATTTCGCTCTCGCGGGTGCGTTGAAAGTTATATGGACGAAATTTCATCGAGTGCGGGAGGCAGTTGATCGACCACCTGACGTAAAGAAAGGGGAGTCATCTGTCAATGTCGCGGTTCGTAAAACCCTTCAGTATTTGCGGCTGCGTCGAGTGCAGCAGTTCCTTA